GCATGGCCCCTAGCTGTCACCTTGCTGCCCAGCCAGAGGCCAGTGCCTTTGCCAGGCCCTGGTCTTGCCCAGAACATGCCTCTCTTGCTCCAACTATTTGTTCTTTCTGTCTGCCCACAAAACCCTCCTCCATGCTAGCAGCCCTTCTCCACAAACACCGGACATCTTGGCCCTGCTCCAAGACCTTCTGGTCCTGTGCGGGCCCAGTGCCCTCTCTCCCTGGTCTGTGGCACCAGGATGGGACTCACTGCCTGGAGCTCTAGCTAATTCGGAGTAGGCTTGACACAAGCCCCGCCCTCCAGCCCCACACTCTGAGCTCTGAGGGCCCTTAGAATGGGGCCATCTTCACAGGCAGCCCTTCACAGATGCTGCTTGAACAAGTGAGTGAGTGGGGGGCCTGCGGGTTCCTCCTCCAGGAATCCCTTTCAGACGAACGGATTCAGTGATTCCAGTCATCCCCTGACCCCACACCCTGAGTAAAACAGCATGTCTGGGTCAGTATCAGGGCTGCCGCCCGGCCTCCCTTTAACCTCTCCCAGCCCGGTTTCCTCGTCCATGATTAGGGCCTAGTAACACCTGCTTTGCTCCCTCCGAGGGGTATGGTGAGCATTACATGGGACGCTGTATGTGGGACATGCTGTGTGTCTTTAAACACTAAACTGCTGTAAAAGAGGCCTTTGTTATTGTAGGAAAGCGTGTCCCCTTGGTGCCGGTTTCTCTGGGTGTGTTAGCAGCCTGCCTCCCTCGCCTGTGAGTTGCGGAGAGTGTGAAAGCCAGGAGCCCTGACATCCCTAAGCTCTGAGTTCAAAGGGCTGGTGCTCAAGGGATTCCCCAGGGAGGGACCGGGCTGGGCACAGAGCGTGGCTCACCCTGGATGTCTCCCCTGGCACCAGGCTCAGCCCCCAACTCACGGATGGGTTGGAACAAGTTATTGCCTCTTTGGGTCTCAGTTTCCTTATCTGTAAAATGCACAAGTTGGGTTGAAGCTCAGACTTTCAAGATTTTTAAAGCTACAGAGCTAATAAAATCTTATGTTCAAATAAAATCTCATACCAGGAAACCCTACGTGAAATGTCACAGCAGAGTTGCTCTGGCTAAAGTGGGGGCGGTGTTCTGAATCCCCAAGACCCGACCCTCCTTCCTAGCCTCCAAGGTCCTGAGGCTCCTCTGCTGAGCCCTCAGGGGTCCTCAGCAAACAGCATCAAAGATCCTCAGGCACTGGCATCAGCTCTTTTCCATCAACAAGAGGAGGTACTCATCAGTGGGGGTAGGAGAGACCTCCGAGCCTCACAGGAGGGCTGTGTGTTCGGGTCATTTGTGCCTTATGCTCCCCACCTGTCTGGAGGTCTTTCTGGAGACTGTGGGGGAGATGATGGCTTTCTCATCTCTCCATCTTCTGTGTTCAGCTCACTGTCTGACACAAAAAAAGGGTTCAGTAAATGTTTGTTGAATAGAATAAATGAATGAAGGAATGAAAGAACGATGAGGTTAAGAAAGAAATGAAAGCGATATCCTCACTTCAGGATTTAGCAACAGTTCCGTGCTGTCTGGAGGTCAACCCATTGTGTGCCTCCCCAACACAGATGCACAGGGTCCTTCCCACAGACCCAGTGTCTCCCCCACAGGAGCCTCTGACCTGGGAGAGGGGACAGGGGAGAGGGAAAGAGACCTGGATTCCAAATCCGAACAGGGAGGGAACTTTGAGGAGGCACTGCAGGGGCAGACGGGGCTTGGGGGACAGGGGAAAGGCCAGGGCCTTCCTTGCTATCCAGAAATCTTTTCCTTCCAACCTACCTGCCCTTGAGCAGCCCTCCTCCTCCTCCTCCTCCTTCCCCTCCTCCCCATTTTCTTCTCCTCACAGTGCCCAGAACAATGCTGAGAAACAACAGAGGGACCAAAATAACCTGCCTGCTAGAAGGGTAAAGAGGCGAATCCTAACACCTCATCCATTCCCCCATGCCTCCCTTGACACCCCCTTCCCTGATGGTGTCCTGAGGGTCCGCAGGGAGGGCTTCCCTCCTTGGGCAGGCCCCTTCCTGACTCGGGGTGTCTGGTCCAGTTGGGGGAACTCCAGGAAGGAGGAAATGCAGGGCTGCCCCTCAGTGCTCCACTCAGCCTTCCCTCTCCCCAACACACCCCTGCCCACAGTGGAGAGTGCAGGTGTGAGCCCCCACCCCAATAAACCCAGGACAGGGACTTTGGGAGGATGGAAGGGGGGAGGGCCAGGCCCTGGGGGTCTTTAGACTTCATTGTGCCCCCAGAGCCACATGCCAAATAGGAGCTTTTCCCTGTGTACCCTTAGAGGCATCCAGACCTGGTACACGTGGGATTTGGTGCTGACTTTAGCATGACTGGCTGCACAGAGCAGATTCTGCAATTTCGCGCTCCTTGCCCCTTCCACCGCCACCTGTCCCCCGCCCGGTGCTGCCACTTGTCTTGCGGATGAAACATCTGCTAGACACTCCTGAAGGCAGCTCAGGAAGCCCTCTGTGAGGAGACCAAAGCTCAGCTCTTTGAGGAGGGGGGAAGCAAGCAGGGTTCCATGTCTGTGGAGCACGAGTGGATACTCGTGTGGGGAGGATCATCTAGTCAGGGGTCCTGGACATGCTGCAGAAGCCAAAGAGTTTTTGGCTCAGTGTAAATTCAGGATACCTTGGTCCCAGCCATCTGCCTGCTCCTTCCCATGCTGTCCTCTTGCCCCCATAGACCTCTGACCCTCCTCTACTTCCCCCTCCACACTGACCCTCCTCTTGGCCCTGGAATCTGCCCTAGACCAGGCAGCCAGGGCCTAGAAGGTTTTTAGGTGGAAAGGCCTGGCTCCCGTGGTCTCCGTCTTGGCTATCTTTCCCACCTCGGAATGGACTTAGTGTTGTCAGTGCAGGACAGGACAATAGATGTTGACTACGTCGACTGATGGGTAAACTGAGGCCAGGGGAGAAAAAGTGAATTGCCTGGGGCGACACAGCTAGTGAGTGGTAGAGCAGGGCCTGGAAGCCAGCTTCCAGCTCTTCTGACTTTCAATCAAGCGCTCTTTCTACCGCAGGAAACGGCCTTGCTGCCCAGGAGCGCTGTGTTCACCTCTGACACTCCCCCTCCCGCCCAGAAAACCAAGGAGACGTTCTTCCCAGAGCAGCTCTGGGCCAGCTCTGCTCTCAAAGGTCGGTGTAACCCCGAGGCCTGGGCCTGGCGCTGGGACCGCAGGGTGGAGGGGGGAGGGGAGGGGAGGAGAAGAGAGGGTGAGGAGGAGAGAAGGAAAGAGTGGTTTATTCTACCCAGAACTGAGAAACAAACAAATTACCTTCAGGTTTTATGCAAATGTGTCCACTACACATCAACAACCCACGTAGAAGAATTGGGGGTGGGATCATGGGGAGGGGGCGCTCAGGTGCCCTCCATGGCTGGAGAGGCTGCTGAAGATTAGACAGGGTGACCCAGTCACCCACCCCCTGCCCCAGTCTGGGCCTGCTGGGTCTTTGCAGGTCTTTCTGACAACTAGGTGAGCAAAAATTAGAAAGCTGAGTGAAAATCAAGAGAAATCCTTGATCCCAAAAGGACTTGAGCCAAGGAAGGGCTGAGTGGCTGGGAGATGGAGGGGACACTTGCCTGTCCCTGGCCTGGGGAGGAGCCTGGGTGTGCTGAGAAGCTGCAGGGGAGGGAAGGCGAAGGAGGGCAAGGCCTCCTGGTCCTCCAGAGGCTCTGGGGAAGGATGGCCCCGATTCCATGTCCCCTGAAGGCAGAAGCGGCAGTTGCCTTTCCCAGTGGGCTTCCTCACCCCCAGGAAGATTCAGCCCCCTCACCCCCTCCTCCCGGCTCCTCAGGTTCCAGCCCCACCCGATCCTTACGGTGATTCTCCTCACGGTGATTCGGTGCAGATCCCCAGCAGAAGCCATGTGCACACCCTCCTCTGGGCGGAACTCCTGTCTTGGCATCCTGAGATCCAACAAGCGGGCAGAGCCTCAGGGCTGGGGTGTGGCCAGGTGGCATTGGGGTCCCCCAGCCCAACTCTCTTTGCTCTCTCAGGGTTCTTTCCCAATATCTATGAGCAAGGATTTCTCAGGTCGGGATCTCTGCAAGGCACCTGTTCTGGGCGAGGGTCTGCCCCTGGGGGGTCTTTATTGGGTACAAGTGGGCCACCTAATCTGAACTGCAGCAGGAGGCAGCCCAGAGAGGGATTGGGATGGGGCACAGGGGGGACAGCACTGTGCAGGGAGTCAGGAGCCTGGTTTCTTACTCTGGTCCATTAGGATTTGCTGTGTGACCTTGCAGAAGGCCCTTCTTCCCCTGAGTCTGCTCTTCACCTATACGCTGAGGGGAATGGGCTGGAGACCTTGTGGCTTAGGTCCTGTGCTATGAAGAGGGAGAAGGAGGACAGAGAAGGAGGAGAGAGGGGGACACTGGTGGGGACCGTCTTGGGAAGTAGGTCACATCTGCCAGCCTCAGGGCCCTCATCTGTAAGATGGAAATTGCTAATAGACTAAAAGGCACTTCTGGAAGGTAGAGGAGAAAGGAACATCATGACTCAGGACCGAACCTGCAGAGCAACGCCTGGAAGGACTTAGCTCCTGAGAACATGCAGGGGCTGGTTTCACGGGACAGCAGTGTCTCAGGACTGAGGGTGGGGACTGTGCCAGGGCTTCCGATCTCTCGGGGGGAAGTGCGTGCGCGTGCGTGCGTGTGTGTGTGTGTGTGTGTGTGAGAGAGAGATCCCCTGTGTGTGTGTGTGTGTGTGTGTGTGTGTGTGTGTGAGATCCCGGAGCCCAGCAGGCGGGCGAGATGCTGAGGCGGGTGGAGGGTCTCCCGAGGCACCCCGCATTGAGAAGGGAGGGAGTGAGCACAGAGAGGCCGGATTCACACACGGGTCCCAGCTTTTCTCACCCAGAATCACTTCCTTTGTTTGGAGGAGGGGTGGGGAGGAGGCGGAGGGTGAGGAGGGAGGGACCCGCGGTGCCGCCGCCGCCCCCGCCCCTCGGGTGCGCGGAGCCGATAGTCACCAGCTCCCGCGCCGGGGGCGACCGAGGCGCCGTTGCCGAGTCAGTCCCCGCCAGCCACATCACCCCCAGACCTGACGGGCTGGCCCCGGGCTCTCCAGGCATCCCCGGAGCCAGTGGCCGCTGGCGGCGTCGAGCTGGGAGGGCGCTTGGACAGCATCGTGCAGGCGCTGGGAGCTCTGCCAGCTCTGGTGACCGTGGGTAGGTCTGTGCCTCAGTGCCCGGGGCTCCCCAGCAGGTATGCAGGAGAGGGTTGACAAAGGCCACGAGAATGCCTTTGGGGCAAGGGTGGGCGAGGGTCCCTGGCAGAGCCGAGCAGACCGGGCACTACTGGGAGGCAGGCGCAGCAGGGGCTCCGGTGGGTGTGGGGGTGGGGCGCTCGCTAGGGGAGGGCTCAGTCCCCCAGACCCACGTCTGCGGCCCAGCCCCAGGTGCAGAACAGGCGCTACCTCTTTAAAAGCGTCCGGGGCTGAGCCTCCACCGCACCATGTGATTGCTGGAAAGGCCGGGCTGGGAGCCTGCCGCGGGAGGCCGGAGCTCCACCAGCGGCCGTAGCCCGTGGCGGAGCCCAGCCCTGCCCGGCGTGGCCGCGGAGCTCTGGGTGGCACCAGGTGCCCACAACTTTGGACGCTGCCTTGGGGACCCCCTGGCGGCCAGCAGGCAGGATGGTGAGCACCCTGCGCCCTGCTCTGTGGGCATGGGTGGGCAGAGCCCGGCCTGGGGGACCCCTGTGGGGTGTGTGTACTGGGAGCTGCCTCACACCTGATAAAAAAGCCAGTGGAGGAGTGAGCGCTGCTATTTTAAGTTGCTGAATGGAACCTCTGGGGATGATAAGGGGAGGGGACAAAGATTAGGCAGTGAAAGGGCCAGGTACCCCGCCAGCCTGGGCAGGCACCACGTGTGCCAAGTGGGGCATGTCCCCACAGGGTGCGGGGGCTGCAGAGCTGCCTGGGCTCCCCACCCCACCCCAGGCTTCCGTGACCACAGGTGCCTGCCTTGTGCCCCTCGCTGCCTGTCTGCTGATGTGCCTGGCCTGTGCCCGCCATGCCGCCCTCCATCTCAGCCTTCCAGGCCGCCTACATTGGCATCGAGGTGCTCATCGCCCTGGTCTCCGTGCCTGGGAACGTGCTGGTGATCTGGGCAGTGAAGGTGAACCAGGCGCTCCGGGACGCCACCTTCTCCTTCATTGTGTCGCTGGCGGTGGCTGATGTGGCAGTGGGTGCTCTGGTCATCCCACTCGCCATCCTCATCAACGTTGGGCCACAGACCTACTTCCACACCTGCCTCATGGTGGCCTGCCCCGTCCTCATCCTCACCCAGAGCTCCATTCTGGCCTTGCTGGCGATTGCCGTGGACCGCTACCTCCGCGTCAAGATCCCGCTCCGGTGAGTCCAGAGCAGCTGAAGGGACCCGCTGTGCCCCACACTGGGGGGCTTGAGGGCCATCTAGCAAGGATAACAGGTAGAGTGTGAGACCCCACGTCAGCCAGATGCTCTCTGGGCACTGCGCCCCAGCCCGCACTCTGCCTGCCTGTCCTCTGCTCTGAGCGCCAGGCTGAGCTGCAGCTGAGGCAGGAGGGGCTGGTGGCTGGAGGAAGGGGAACCTGGCAGAGCCCAGGGCCCTGGAGCTGAAGCTGCTGCTGTTCTCCTGACATGGCCAGGGAACCTGAGGCTGCCTGTCCAGCCTGGAGTGGAGGTTTGGAGCGTTGGCCACCCTTGAGGTTTGCCACCAAGACAGTCACAGTGAGCCCTGGGGGGGAAGGAGCTGTGCTCCCGGAGCCCAGGGACGTGGAAGGGCAGAGCAGACTGCAGGGTGCAGTGAGGCTGTGCCGAGGGTGGCACAGCGGGGCCAGGAGTGCTGTCTCTCCAGTGAGGCCTGGCCAGGCTTCCTGAAGACACTCAGCGTCTTGTTTTCTGGATATCTCTGTGCCAGCCAGCTCCAGCCTCCAGGGCTGTCCTGGTGACCCCAAGCTGTCTGATTATCTCTGCCCAACTTCCACTTATGGGATCTCTGCTGCAGAGGGAGGGAGAAATGCGGGCGCCTGCTCTCTGCCTCCTGTTCTGTGCAAACCGTGTGTCAGCACCACGTGGGTGCTTGTGCACGTCCAGGCAGCACCAGGGTGGGCGGCCTGATGGCGGCAGTCCTCATGCAGTGTCCAGTCCATGTTGGGGCTCCTTGCCCGGGCCCTCTAGGCTGTAATCTCATCGCCAGGCAGTGCTGGGGCCACCAAGTGCCAGCGAATGCCTGGGCGCACGGCCAGGGCCGGCCCTGCCGGGAGACTTCTGTGCAACGTGCTTGCCCCTCCTTAAGTCTTGTCAGCAGTAGATTCCCTTTCTCCCAGCGGTTCTGGCCATCTCTGGCACCTGCCGTCCCAGAGTAGCTTCCACACCTGGGACATGGGGCCTCTGGCCTCACTTGGCATCTTGCCTGGGCAGGCCTAGGCACCCATGTTTCTCCCATTTGCATTACATTTGTGCACGTTTAACTTTTCAAAGCTTTCTCATGCAGCATTTTTCCCAATTCCCACCATGATCCTGTAAGGGAGGTGGGGTGGGAGGTGGTAAAGTGGCAGTTAAGACCCAGAGGGTCTCCTGAAGCTGGTTGGAAGCAGACCTTGATCCCACTCCCCACCTTCCTTTCTGACTCCCCCATGGTCCAGCACCTCGATGACAGGCTCCCTGCTGTCTACCTCCCTTACAACTTCCAGTTTCCAGGGGAGGTGGGCTGAAGACTGCTGCTCAGGGGAGAAGGAGGCATGGAAGGCAGCACAGAAGCCCCATGAGCTCAGCCGCTGAGGGGCCTTCCTGCTGCCGTTACTCCCAGGTGGTGGCTGGGCTGTGCAGATGGGTTTCAACCCATTAGAGTGGGCGGGGCCTCGGCCATATCACAAAATGTTGCTACATTAGGAAACTCACCAGATATGCAGATGAAGGAAGGCTGCTCAAGAAATTCAGTCTGCTGAGTGGATGCCAAGGTGAGCCATGGCCTGGGCCTCACGTGACAGAGGTCATGGGCTGCAGAATGTGCCCTTCCTGCCCTGTGGGGATGGGCTGGCTGTGCTGGCAGGAACAGGAGGCCCATTCCTCCAGGAGGCGGCTTCTGTTGCTCCCTGCTCCAGCCTCGAGGAGCTGGGGGCTCTTGAGGAGCTGTGCTCTGAGGGCTGAGGGGCCCTGGAGGGGCGCGTACATAGAGGCTAAGAATACAGGCTTGGGTTCGTGTCCTTGCTGTGACCTTGGGAAAGTCAACCTCTTTAAGTTTCAATTTCCTCATCTATAAAAGGGGACATTAATAATAGTACCTTCTTCCTAGGACGATTGGAAAAATATGATGAACTCCTCCATATAAAGCACTTAGTGCCGTCTGGCTTGTTCTGTGCATGCTGTACATGGTGGGTTCATCATTGTTAACACATGGCTCACGGTGGGGCTGGGTAGGCAAGCCCTGCCCCCCGACTCATGTTCTTAAACAGCAACACACATGTTCCCATGCACACGCACTCCCCCCATGCACACACACGCACACACATGCGCATGCGCACATGTCCTCACGTTTCCAGGGAGGTGTCCAATCACTGTGAAGTTCTCTCTGTAGGTGCTCTTTCCCCCCGGGGGACTGTCCGTGCCTCCAGGGCAGTGACCGGGGCAGCATTTTGTCTGTTTCTGCAAGTTCTCCAGAAAGCCCGACACGGGGTCTGGGACACGGCAGACACTCAGGAAATGTGGTGAATTGGGTGAGTTTCTGGGGCTCACGCAGCCGAGCCTCAGGCGGCTCTTCAGGTGTCAGTCCACCGTAGGGCCCTGACCACACTGCCCCACAGCTCCGGCCGGCTCCTTAGAGCCGCACGCCAGCAGTGCTGGAGGTGCCCTGCCCCCCGGAGAGGAGCCTTTCTCCTGGGTTAGAGAAAGGCTGCTGGGATTCTGGAGACTGGGCTGAGGAGATGGGCCCTTCCAGGCCTTGCCTGTCACTGCCCAGGTCCCCCTGCAGGAGGGAGGGCATGCGCTGCTCCCCTCTGGGCAGCTGGAGTCAGCCGGCTGCTGGACTGGGAGAACGCCTCTCAGCCAGAGGTCCCCAGGCACCAGGCTCCCTGCCCTGATGAGCAGTCAGATGTGGATGTGGCCCTGGGCACCAGGGCGCAGTACACACATGACACCTTGCTGGAGAGGTAGGTATAGGGCATCTGGGTGACAGGAGTCAGCCAGGCCTCCTGTCAGGGGAGGCATGGTTTGGTCAGTCAACTGCAGATTTTAGTTCCTTCCACTTGGCAGAAAGCCAAGAGAGAGAAACGGTTCGTATCATGTCACGTGACCCAGTTACCAAAAACCAGCTCAAATTGTTGCTTCATCAATAACCTGAGGTCATTTACGAGTATTTTGTGTGTGTTTGCATAGCACCAGCACGTGCTTGGTAGTTGATATCCTCTTCCCTCAGCTCCTACTGCTGGGGGATCTCCAGCATTCACCCCTGCACCCCCTCACCCCAGTTTCTGGGTGGTGATCTGTGCTTACACCAGGGGGCTGGTTACGGGGCGGAGTGCCCACAGGGGATCCCTGACCAAAGCCCTGTCTGTGGAAGGAGGCCTGAGCGGCCGTCTGTGGCCAGATGGGGTGCGTTGGGATGGAGGGGTGGGGGTTGTGTAGGAGTCAGAAAGACGGGAGTTGGAACCTTGCTCTGTTACTAACTAGTTGTGCAACCTTGGATAAGTTAGTCAGCTTCTCTGAGCCTTTTCCTCTCATCTGTTAAACCATTCGAGGTCTCCGGGCTCCTTTCAGCTCTCTCCACGGCCCGTCCTTGTCATGATTCCTGCCAATGCCGTACTGAGATCTTGGGAAGGTTGTGTTGTGTTGTGTTTTTCAGCTCCTAGTGATTATGAGCTGGGCACAATGCTGTGTTTTTTTCTTTTATGTTTCTCTCATTAATGCTCCTAGCCTCTCACTAATGGAGGTTATTGCTGTAGACCCTTCTATAGATAAACTGAGGTCTGAGGCTCAGGGAGGTTCAGTAATTTGCTCAAGCGTGTTGTCAGGAGCAGAGACAGGGCTTGAATCCAGATCTTACAGATGCCTCTAACCAGTGAGCCCCTGCGTGTCTTGAGTCAGCCCCAAGAAGCTGTAGGAGTCGTGGGGGAGTTTCCTCAAGGCTGTCAGTGGGGTGATTTTCCTCCTCCTATCTTTGCCAATGGCCTCTGCGATCTGCTCAGCCCGTGACCGGTGCCGCCCCTCCCCCCTCACCTTCACTCCAGTGGCCCTGAGCCCCTGGCAGTCCTGCCTCTGCCCACAGCTGGAGGCCTGCCCAGCTGGGCTGCTGACCGGGAAGCGCAGCAGGGAGTGGGGGATGCTGGCTGCAGGACCAGCGCTGGGCAGGGAGAGAAATCTGGCGGATGAGAGCATGGGTTGCTTTTGCGTCGATGTAGCGCTCCCCACCCTGGCCAGCCTGGGCTTTCCTGACAGCTCCGGTGCCTCCTGTGCTTGTGCCCGCCACCGTCTGTGGCCTCAGGGTTCCAGAACAGTTGCTCTCAAGTGGTGCCGTCTGCTTGGATGGATGGATGAGTTGTGGGCCCAGAGTGTTGGAGACAGAGAGCAGAGCAGCCAGCCCTGAGGCCCGACTCTGTCCTCGAAGAAGAGGAAACAGAGGCCAGGAGTCCAACGTGCTCAAGGTCGCTCAGCCAGGAGCTCTTTCCTCCTCCCAATCCTGGCCCTTGAACCCGGCCTCTGATCCTCTGACGTACAAGGCTGGGGCAGGAGGAGCTGTTAACTCTCACCCCTCCTCAAGGAACAGAGCAGAGGAATGCGGCCTCCACAGGATGTCAGCAAATTATTGGTGGGCCTAGAGGGGAAGTGATGGGAGGATGTCACTTTGTGATTGAAGAGGTCATTTCTTTGCTGGAATTAGGAGCAGCCTTCAGGTGGGTTATGCTGAAGATGCGCTGAGCAAGGGGCCGGACCTCTAGTAGAGAGCCGTCGGGATTAGTTTCAGGGTGGAAGCTTCCCCGGCTGGCCCTGGAATGGCTTCCAGGGAGCCTCCTGCCCAGGTGTGAGCGCTGCTGGGGTCAGGGGGATGGCCAAGGTGCCTTCCGGAGACCCCTCTACCCTGGGGGTTGTGGGTGTGGCCCTGGAGCCACACCCTGACGTTTGGTATTTACTTCTGAGCATAAAAACAATCCATGTTTATTGTTAAAAATTTGGGAAAAGTAGGAAAGAATAATGATGATATAATTACCAGTAATTCTACCACCTACAGATAACTACTGTTAACATTTTGGTGTCCAGAAAATGTTTCCATGCGTATCTATCTATCTATCTATCTATCTATCTATCTATCTATCTATCTATGGATTTATTATTTTTACATAGTTGAGAGCATCTGTGGTTTTATATCCCATTTTATT